TTGTTTACAACCATGAATGAAAACGTAGGTAGCGAGCAAACATACAACTTCGGAAGTTTCTCCTGTCAAGTAAGTTCTTCCATCATAGAAGTTTCATTACTAACCGATGTGACGCGATAAGCAGAAAAGCTGTCCCGCGAGGGTAGCTTTGTGTATGTAACAATGGGTAGCTGTTTTAATTTCTAAAACACAGAACATTAAAAAGCAAACGAATATCAGTCCAGGCGAGATAAATCTATATTAATACACAAACACTACATCCTAGCGAACAGCCACTGACTCATGGACACAAATGATATCAGCTTGACGGTGGGGAGACGTTTACAATGGGGTCCCTGGCCCACTTAAATCACTCAGAGAGGTCCTAGCTGTTCAAAAAGCCTTGCTGGAGATCTGAAAACTTTTAAGCTCAAGTGACTGGTATGCTTATAGTTCGCTTGTGACGGCATACGGGCAAAATCTCTGGCTAACCGAATTCTGTGTGACGATAAAGCCTAATCATTATATGAAGCCATTTTGTAAACAGAGTGGCGTTTCTCTTCGGTTGGTTTTCACAAGGTTCAAGTGGACACTACTATAGACATCAGAGGAAGATCCATTCCTTCATTTTGCTCGGATGGTACGCACATACAGTTTGTGCGTAGTGGCTCAGTAGTGGCAAATGGTAATAATATGCGGACATTGAAATGCCACCCAATCAAAACGCCATCACTTTGCTTCTTAAATAGTCCGTGGCGTCAGGTAAGCATATTATGGGCATCTCAACTCATTACGGCGATGATCTCATCGACTAAGTGCGATGTTCCACAAACTGGACGATGGAATAATTCAAGCAGTTTATGAATTATATACGATGATCTTAAGTGGGCCTCCGAAAGAGTTGGTACTGATCAATTCGGAGAGGAGATCCAAGAGAAACATGCGGTTATCCTGCCATCCAGGGCAATAAGCCGTGTGTTAAACAGCCTCGGCTGTATTATTTTCCGTTGTGTCACAATTTGTATAAACTCTCTTGTCTGTATTCACATCTACCATTAGTAGTATGTAGTGGATTGGGTCAAGAAAACATCCAGCCTTTGTGATGAAAAGAAGTAACGTTCCAAATATGCAGTTGTACTGAGTTTGAAAATCGCTAGTCCTAAATGAGCCCAATCATGAACTTCGCTTCGTCAAAAGCGTGAGAAACAGCAGTTGGGCGTTNCCTGTGTGACAAAACTTTGTGCATAAGGCGTCTTGAGCAGCTCCCTCTACACATTTAATTGCCGGGAAGTTTGAGAAAATCAAGAACTTATTATATCAAGGGAATGCCGGGATTTTCCAATACTAAACAACCTTTTAATTGGTACAGACCGACAGCTGTGCACAGTTCGACTATTACGTACGGAAATAGTTTAAATTCAGATTGTTTACGCTAGGCCTTTTTACGAGCACATAACTGAGTGACGCTGCTAATATTAGGCCAAGAAGTCACTTGCTGCACTCGAATAAGCGATTCACGGCACACCCTTAACAAACAAACAAAGCAAACAAGTTTGGTTTGCAAATAAGTGTGTTACCCTAATGCTCTCTTTGAATAAAGCTGATGATTAGTCATTCGGGGAAGGATCACGTTCATCTCAGAAGACTGACCACCATATAGCCACAAATTGAAGGAAGTACGCAAGTACCTGCGTTAACTCAAAGGATTGGAACGCCCCTCGCTGGCCCAGTGAATACGTATGATTTGAATATCCAACGGCGTGTTGTGTTGCTAATATCCACCCATGAGGCGTGTCATGCTCTGCACATTCTTTGAATTGTATTTGACAGGAACATCAAATCAGTATGAGTTCAGCCTCACGAATAATGTTGAACAAATTAGCCATAATTTTTACTGCCGTTTGAGTTAAGTTGCTGCTGTAAGACTGACCTCTTGGCAATTTCGACAGTCGAGTATACCGTAGTGAACTTTATAAGAATACAAAAGACCTTTTCTCTTAGGTACCTTGAGAGCAGAGACTAAGGGAACGGACTGCCTAGTCCAAACGTTGGAAAGCGTCTAGTTGGAACTGTTGGTGGTACGTCTGGTGGCAAGCTCCCCTTGTTTTTTCACAAAATTTTCCTTTAACCATACCAAATCTGTCAGTTGGATTCAAGTTTCACGTTTCCGAACACGATCTTCAAAAACGAGTGATATTTAACATGACCCTGCTTTTAAGTTGGCAGATTTTTAGCAACTAATCAATGGTGCTGGAGCAAACTGCAAAGAACAAGCGGTTGCACAAACAAACAATGTGGGAACAAGTGAAATAAGGAGTTTACCGCATTATATACAGAACATACGACGAACGATTTCACGTGGATGGATTATAGTTCTCCCACACAGTACAAAGCTTTGGTTAAGTAATTTAGTCGCAAGTTATTTATTTGGAAGT